GGAAAGCAGGGAGCAGATCCTATGATGGTTTAATACAGGCACAGATCTATGAGTGGGTTACCCAACTTGAATGAAAACACCCACCGATTGGCACGAAGCATTGGCTTTTTCCAGGGCTCTTTTTGTAGAAAAAGCCCAGCAGGAACTCATTAGCATAATAGGACACACGCAACAGCAGAAAATCATTAGCATATTAGGCCACACCCCCGACAGCACGGCGCATTAGCACATTAGGCCGCACCCCCATGTTACCAGAAGTGTGGTTATCCAGCCACACCCACCTTTTGCTTCTTATTCTGTTTACCTTGTTTGTTGTCAAAACCCAGGGCCTTTTTTGTAGCAGGGACTCCTTTGCATGTTAGGCCACACACCCCTAATGTAGCCAGTCCTAATGAGTTTCTGCTGTTGGGTGTGGCCTATTATGCTAATGAGTTCCTGCTGGGCGTGGCCAACTCAGGAGCCAGCCGGACCTCCGTTCCTGTGCGTTCCTGCCCAAAAATAGCCCTGGTTTTTCTATAATTAGAGGGGCGTTTGAGTCTTCAGCGCCTCAAGGCGTGACCCTGTTAGGTTTGAAGTAGAGTCAGCCTTGGATGGGGGGCCTCCCAAGAGATAGAGGGGAGGGAGAAATTTCCGGATCGTGTGGTGGGACTCTTATTCGGGGAGGTCCAATTTCCGAATGACACCCACCACTTCCTTTCTATACAACCTACCCAGGCAGTTTCTCACCTAGGTAGTGTTCGAGCCTTTCTAACAATGCTGAGGTGGAAGGCAAGCAAGCGTAGGCTTCGGCCTACTGAGGCACATTATAGAAGGGTAGGCCTGGCCTGCCTCATGGTCTTCTTCAACCTTTTCCTTGTGTCAGTTTAACCGAAAGCAAAAAAAGGAAAAAAAGAAATACTTAGAACCTTGGGAGTTTTAGTTTTAGTTTTACTTATCAAAAGATCCTTGGTTTGTGTTTGTGGCCCACTCGGCTCAGTGGGCCTTGTGTCTTCTGCGGAGGCTTGTCACCTCCTTGAGTAAGAAATGTGCTCTTCCCTGACCCCAGTTGTGACTGATAGGGAATGAACTAAGCTTAGTCCGGTGTGGTCTTCAGCTCCCCAAAATGTTCTTATTTTTTGTGGAAATGAGACAGTTACCTGCTAGGAGGCAAGGGCCTGTTCTGAAGGGCCCCCGTGCTGCGGCACACGGCCTCTATTTTCTTTCAATTTCCAGAGCAAGTTTTTTTTTAATTCCGCAAGGACCACGGAGTGGTTTGGTTTCCTGGCTGCTTTTCTTTAAAGAAAGGAATCTGGTTGAGGGTTAATATGCTTACTGTTGGGAGCGCACCTTTTAAAAAGGATTTATGTGGGTCGCGGCATTCTTTGTGGCCCACTCGGCTCAGTGGGCCTTGGGTCTTCCGCGGAGGCCTGTCACCTCCTTGAGTAAGAAAGGTGCCCTTGCCTGACCCCAGTTGTGACTGTTAGGGAATGGATTAAGCCCAGTCCGGTGTGGTCTTCAGCCCCCCGAAACGTTCTTATTTTTTGTGGAAATGAGACAGTTACCTGCTAGAAGGCAAGGGCGATGGTCGTGGCCCCGTGCCCAACGTCATCACGTCACTTCCTGGTGACGTGGATGCAGCGCGCTTGCGCTCCGCACGCACGCGCTCCGGGATCAACCTGGGAGTCCCTCCCTTCGAAACAAGGTGAGACTTGGCAACCCTAGCTGAGGTGGAAGTCAAGCAAGTGGAGGCTTCGGCCTACTGAGGCGCATTATAGAAGGGTAGGCCTGGCCTGCCTCACGGTCTCCTTCAACCTTTTCCTTGTGTCAGTTTAACGGAAAGCAAAAAAAGAAAAAGAAATACTTAGAACCTTGGGATTTTTAGTTTTAATTTTACTTATAAAAAGATTCTTGATTTGTGTTTGTGGCCCACTCGGCTCAGTGGGCCTTGGGTCTTCCGCGGAGGCCTGTCACCTCCTTGAGTAAGAAAGGTGCCCTTGCCTGACCCCAGTTGTGACTGTTAGGGAATGGATTAAGCCCAGTCCGGTGTGGTCTTCAGCCCCCCGAAACGTTCTTATTTTTTGTGGAAATGAGACAGTTACCTGCTAGAAGGCAAGGGCCTGTTCTGAATAGAGATGTAAAATTTCCGGAAATTTTGAAGCTCGGAAAAAACCCCAGGTTTCCCCGTTTTTTTTCGGGGGGAAACGGAAATTTTTGGAAAAATTGAAAAAAAATGCTACATTAGCATTTCTTTTGTCTTTTCTAGATTGAAAGTCATTCTGTTACTTTAGGGACATAAAATATGACTATGGACATTTTTATTTGGCATGAAATGATCACAACTAGCATATTAAAAATATAGTGCATCCAAACAATTATTACAAACAGAATACCCACCCCATGCAAAAACAAAACTGAAACGTTAAAATAATCATGTTAAATGATTTAATCATGTTAAATGTTAAAACATCATGTTAAAATAAAACGTTCCATAATCATTTTTTTTTATTTTTTCAATTTTTCCAATTTTTTGGAGAAAAAAAAGGCTTCAGGAAAAAAACGGGAAAAACCCGGTCCCCCCCTGAATTTTTCCATTTTTTTTCCCGGACCTTCACATCTCTAGTTCTGAAGGGCCCCAATGCTGCGCCACACGGCCTCTATTTTCTTACAATTTCCAGAGCAAAAGCTTTTTTTAATTTATTCCGCAAGGACCAGAGTGGTTTGGTTTCCTCGCTGCTTTTCTTTAAAGAAAGGAATCTGGTTGAGGGTGAATATGTTTACTGTTGGGAGCGCACCTTTTAAAAAGGATTTATGTGGGTCGCGGCATTCGGAGTTGAAAGGTGGCCGGTAAACATCGGTTGTGTTGATACAGAGCCCTCGAGAACGAGAGAGGAAGTAATTTCCCTTCCGTGCGTTACTCAGACCTCCTGGAGAGGTTTGCCAAACTCCAGGTGAGCCCTGGAGATCTCCCGGAATTAACAGCTTTTGTGCGCACGAACACTTTTTCACGATACCAGGACAGTTTCAGAGGGCAGTGCTGCTAATCTGGCGCAGAAGAGCCAGGTTCGAGTTCAGTAGCGCCGAAGAAACAAGATTTTTGGGGGGCATGAGTTTTCAAGCGTCAGCGTTCCCTTCCTCTGGAGCTTTGTTGGTCTACTGGACTTGAATCTGGCTCTTCTGCTTGCAGATGAACACCACGATCCTCTGAAACCGGTACCGGTATCTGGAGAAGTGTACACACATGCGAAAGTTTATACCTTGAATACAACTTGGTCGGTCTTAAAAAAGGTGCCACTGGAGTCAAAACTGAGTTCTGCTGCTTCAAGCCAGCGTGGCTACCCACCTGAAAAACAACAACAACAGACTTGCTGGACCAGACAAGGGATCCGTCTAGTCCAGCAATCCTGTCTCAGACAGTGGCCAGCTAGTTCCTGTGGAGGGCCAAGAACAGGGCATAGAGGCCGAGGTCTTAATGAGAACATAAGAAAAGCCCCGCTGGATCAGACCAGTAGTCCATCCAGTCCAGCATCCTGTCTCGCAAAGTGGCCAAATGGTTCCTCTGGAGGGCCAAGAACAGGGCAGAAAGGCCAAGGCCTTCATGAGAACATTGGGAGATCTCATATGGATCAGACCAGTGGTCCATCTAGTCCAGCATCCTGTCTCATACAGTGGCCAACTAATTCCTCTGGAGGGCCAACAAGAGGGCAGAGAGGCTGAGGCCTTCATAAGAACATAAGAAGAGCCCTGCTGTAGCAGACCAGTGGCCCATCTGGTCCATCATCCTGGTCTCACACAGCAGCTAAACAAGTTCTGTGCACCCCAAATCCCTTTGTTGCAACACCCTTCTCACCTTCTGGCTGGGGTATAAGGGCCCAGGGATCTCCATTCTGACGAAGGGAGCTTTGTCTCGAACTCCAGTGATCTAGGTGATCTTTAAGGTGCCAGTGGACTCAAATCTTGCTCTTCTTCTGCGACCCAACATGACCGACCACCTGAAACTCTTTTTTAAAAGCGGTCTCCCATCTTCTTGACCTTCGGATGCGTGTGTGCGTGCGTGCGTGTTTGGCAAACAGATTAACCCATCATGTATTTTTTTTTAAAAAAAAGAAGAGAACCTGCTTCTTTCCCATAACTTTATATTATATCTCCTTCCTTTTTTTATCTTTTTGTCTCGCTCGAATGTAGGACGCAAAGAAGGGGCCCAACGCCCTCATGCGCCGCAATAGCGTCACCCCTCTAGCGAGCCCCGAGCCCACCAAAAAGCCACGCATCAACAGCTTTGAGGAGCATGTGGCTGCCGCCGCTTCGGCCGCTCACCCCGTCTGTATGCCCCAGGAGGCGCCCGCACAGCTGCCCGGACAAGTTGGTTTACCTTCTTTCGTTGATGTTTTGTTTTGTTTTGTTTCCGTTGTGGTGGTGGTCTTGGCTGTGCCGTGGCTTTTGTCTTTTGCATTTGTGTCTCTTTTTTTCCCTGTTGCTTTGTCAACCTTCCGGGGGGATTTCTTAATTGCCAAATGGCGGTAATCCTCTGAGATTGTCTACGGCGCTTGGTTTTGCTCCTATCCTTTTGCTTGTTTGGGAGAGGCAGGCTTGAGTGTGTGTGTCTTTTTTGGGGGGGGATTTGTGCATGATCATGTGAAAGCGTGTGGCTTTACATCAGGATGGGAACGGGGCACGTGTGATCGGCTTGGATCCCTTTGAACCCTCGACACAAAACTCATTCAGGAACATCCGAACAGACCTTCCCTGTCCATTCTTCATGGCTAATGCCTTCCTGTTAGGTCCTTCCTTCAAAAGTACTTGCTTTCCAAGGTCTGGTTCAGGGCTCCCGAACCTTGTTGAGCCTGTGAGCCCATTTGGAATTTTGAAAGGGGGTGGCGAGCGATGTTCCCACTAAGCTGTGGAGTCTTGTGAGCAAAAATTCTGCTTTGTGAGCTACCAGCATTAAAGTGGGGAGCGAGCGATTGGGCTGCTGCATAAATCAGTTTGCTCTGGAGCCCTCCTTCCTGAGCAAAGACCAAAATCTGTGAGCCGGAGGCTAAAAAAATGTGAGCTAGCTCACACTAACTCAGCTTAGAGGGAACATTGGCTGGTGAGCGCCAAACCCAAAATGGCTTCCACAGGGGGCGGGGCCAAATGGAATGCTTTCCTCTTCCTGGGAAGAAGGAAAGCCTGAAGGGGGAGTGGAACCACACGTGGACTGAGAAAAGCCCAAGGGCTTACCTGACCTTCTGAGCAAGTGGGCGGGCGGCTTGTCTTCCGTCTTCCGTCTCCTCCTCGCAAACCGATTAACCCTTTGTGTGGTCTTTCTGTTGCTCCTTGGTCTCCCTTCCGCTTGACGCCCCATTACTGATTTTTCCCATTTCCCCCCCTTTTCTCTCTGTCTCCTTTACAGCCTGTCCTGGGAAAGGCCTGCCTGTAAGTATCTTCTCGGGGGGTTGATTCCTTTCTCTGTTGCCTGGCTGGCCTGGTTTTCCCTTTCCTGCTGTGAGCACTCTTGAGTTTTCCCCGGGTGGCTCCCCCGTTTCCTCCATTGATACCTGTGCAATATTGGGCCTTGTTTTCTTTTCTGCCATTGATTTACTGGCGCATCTCTCGATTGGCAGCCACCAAACACTAACTTGTATTCGGGGGAGAGAAGCAACGCTCGGTTTTGTATGTCTCGTGAATCTGGCTTGCTACCTTTTCCTCTGCTTAAGACTGTGATAGAATCACAGAGTCGGATGGGGCCATAGAGGCCATCTAGTCCAGCCCCCCTGCTCGAGGCAGGAACAGCCCAGAGCATCCCTGAGAAGTGTTTGTCCAGCCGCTGCTTCAAGACGGCCAGGGAGGGGGAGCTCACCATCTCCCGAGGCAGCCGATTCCATTGCTGAACTACTCTTAATTTTAGGCTTAGGGGGTGTGAGCCGTTGGGAGGGCGGGGTATAAATCAATCAATCAATCAATAAATAAAATTTTTATGTAATATGCAGCTAGTATCTTTCCACCCATACCCATTCTTGCGAGTCCTCATCTCTGCTGCCAATAGGAACAGCTCCCGGCTTTCCTAAGGGACAGCCCTTCAAATACTGTAAGAATATCTACTTTGAAGCGGTAACCCACTAAGCTTTGGTGGAAATAACAGATCCAAAGGGGGTATTAAAGGACATAGAACCATTCCCCCCTCATGTGCCCGTTCACACACCTGATGCTCCCTCTAAGCTATGGAGTCTTGTGAGCAAAAATTCTACTTTGTGGGCTCCTGGCATTAAAAGTTGTGAGCGGGCGATTTGGCGACTGCGTAAAATTAGTTTGCTCTGGAGCCCGTCCATTCCTGAGCCGAGACAAAAATTTGTGAGCCGGCTCACACTCAGGGCTCTTTTTGTAGAAAAAGTCCAGCAGGAACTCATTAGCATAATAGACCACACCCAACAGCAGAAACTCATAAGCATATTAGGCCACACCCCTGACAACACAGCTCATTAGCATATTAGGTCGCACCCCCATGTTACCAGAAGTGTGGTCATCCAGCCACACCCACCTTTTGCTTCTTATTCTGTTTACCCTGTTTGTTGTCAAAACCCAGGGCCTTTTTTGTAGCAGGAACTCCTTTCCATGTTAGGCCACACACCCCTAACGTAGCCAATCCTAATGAATTGCTGCTGTTGGGCATGGCCTATTATGCTAATGAGTTCCTGCTGGGCGTGGCCAACTCGGGAGCCAGCCGAGTTTGTGCGTTCCTGCCCCAAAATAGCCCTGCTCACACTAACTCAGCTTAGAGGGAACACTGCTCACCGGTCTCCCCAACGGGGACCCAAAGCATCTTAAGCTTGTACTCCCCTCCTCCGTTCTACCCTAACCTCTGCCGTGAGGCAGGCTAGGCTTAGGGGGTGTGACTGGTTTAGGCTTCCACGGCAGAGTGGGGATTCTCATCTGGGCCTCCCTGATCTTAGTCCGGCGCTCTGACCACTCCATGAGCATGATGTGGCGGTTCAGGGAAAATGAAACTCTGTGCATGTGGTGGCAGATGTCATCAAGTCGGGCTTTCGAGGCGACAGACGGACAGAGGTAGTTTGCCGTCGCCTGCTTCTGCGTAGCAGCCCGAGTTTTCCGTGGTGGTCTCCCATCCTAATACTAACTTAGCTTCTGAGATCTGAGGAGATTGAGCTAGGCTGGGCCATTGAGGTCAAGGCAAGAGACGTTCAGAGGTGGTTTGCCATTGCCTGCCTCTGCGTAGCAACCCTGGGACTTCCTTGGAGGTCTCCAATGCAAGTACTAACCGGAGGTCTTCCATCAGTACGTTTCAGGGATACTAACCCTGCTTAGCTTCTGAGATCTGACAAGATCGAACTAGCCTGAACCATCCAGGTCAAGGCAAGAGACAAACAGAGGTGGTTTTGCCATTGCCTGCCTCTGCGTAGCAACCCTGGACTTCCTTGGAGGTCTCCCGTCCAAGTACTAACCACCTCTGACCCTGCTTAGCTTCCGAGATCTGATGAGATCTGGCTAGCCTGGGCCATCCAGGTCAGAGCACATACAAGAAGCTGAGGTCTAAATGAACCATTATTGCTCATTTAGGATGGGGCCGGTCCAAGGCTAACGGGACTAGTTTCCTAGAGATGCAACCACAGGGGGACAATCTCGATCCTTCCTCTCACTGGCTTTCACTTCTAAACCGATATCCCTCACTTCTTATTTCCCCCTCTTCCCCCTATTTGCTGCCAGTGGGATACAGTGGTTAGAGTGACAAATTAGGACCAGGAGGGTCTGGGTTCGAATCCCCAACCGGCCCGTTTCTTCTGTTTTCTCAACCAAAGTCGCAACCAGCAGCCCGCCGGCCTATCGAAGCTCTCCGGCTGACTTTGGGCCAGTCATTCTTTCCCAGCCCAGCCTCCCTCGCAGGGTTGTTGTGAGGTAAAATGGAGAAGGGGGAACGATGCGTGCCACCAGGAGCCCCCTGGCGGAAGGGGAGGATGACAAAAACCTAGATTGTCCTGGGCTAGGCCAATCTTGTCTTGTGGAGAGCCCCAATTCTAGGCACTCTTTACCAGTGCTCCCTCTAAGGTGTGGAGTCTTGTGAGCAGAAATTCTACTTTGCCATCCTTCCTGAGCAACGACAAAAATGTGTGAGCTGGAGGCTAAAAAACTGAGCTGGCTCACAGTAACTCAGCTTAGAGGAAACGTGGCTCTTAATGGGTCATCCTGTTGCAAGCTTTCCACCTTCACCGCCTTTTCTTCTCTCCCCCCCCCCCACTTAACTTTCTATGCTGCAAGTCGGCCCGTTTGTCTCTTTTTCAAAACTTTCCGCTTTACTAATATTTCCAAGGTAAAACAGCCTGCCGTGGTGCATATTGTTTGTTTCCCTACCTTGCTTATGATCTCAGTGGAATAACAGCTGCTTGAGATTATTCCGGCGGGTTGTCTGTGCGCGCACGCAAGGGGGGATGCGTGCATACCCTTGGCCCATGCTCGTGCAACTTCCTTCGCCATGGAATTTCTTGACATGTGTTTCCTTTGCAATTTTGCACTAACCTGGCTGTATCTTTGAGGCTGTGTTTCCTTCCCTGAAACATTGCAGCGCTAGAAAGCTATGAGGGTCCCCACGCTGCTTGCTGACCCAAGAACCTCTGCATTTTGGGGGGGGAGCTGTATGGTTGATTGTCCCCATTTCCCCCCTCGAACATCCCTTTGCAACTTCAAGAGTTGCAAAATCAGATGGGGTGGTATTTATCCCTGACAGGGCAGCATTTGGCTAGGCATCCGTTCTCGCTTCACAAATAGTTCAAAAGTACTTACGAACCTTCAGTTCAAAAGTACATACGAACCTTCAGTTTAGTTCAAAAGTACGTACGAACCTTCAGTTGAAAAGTACATACGAACTTTCAGTTCAAAAGTACATACAAACCTGCAGATCAACGAACATTCCAATATGAAATCGATATGAGTAAGAACTTCTTCCCAGAAAAACCGAGTGACTGGACGCATCCCAATCAGTATGTTTCAGGGACGTGTCCTGTGAGTTACGACCTTCTTCCCAGAAAAACCGAATGACTGGACGCATCCCAGTCAGTATGTTTCAGGGACGCGTCCTGTGAGTTACGATGCCAGCAATTAAGACGTTTTCCTCCGTCCTTTGCCAAAGAGTCGCTGTGGTGTCCAGTGCATCCTTAACATAATTTTGTGCTGAATAAGTCTCAAATCAAGCGATGAAAGTTGGCAGGGAGCTGAGTGAGAAGGAGCCCAGCTAATTAAAAGACCTTCAGAACTTAGACTAAGGGCCGGGGAGGAGACGGAACTCGCACCGTTATGAACGGTTGCTCATGGATTGCGCTGTGACCCTTGCTGCCTTTCGACAAGGGAGTCATTGTGGTCCTTCTCTCTCTCCCGCCCTCCCCGGAGAATGTTTTATGCGGCGATGGCTTTTCTCCGTTGCCCTGCATGCGAAGGCGCTCTGTTGCTTCTGTTCTTTTTTGGCCTGTTTTGTTTTTTTAAAAAAAACCTGTCCGCTCACCGTTTCTTCTTTTTCTCCCCCTTTGCAGAAGCTGAACGTCTCCCACGAGCGGTCTTGAATCTCTCCCGGCGATGTTGGTGAAGCTGGCGAGGGACGGCCGGCTCCATTCACATCGCCCGCCGCACCTCCGGTCCTTCTTCGCTCAAGCTTGAGGGTCAACCTTTTGTTGTTGTCTTTGACCCTCTTCCGTAGCTGATCGTCTTGCTGGACTTGGACTCGGGAACAGAACGGAGGCAGGGGGGAAAAAGACTTTTTTTGGTGGGTGGGGAGGAAGAAAGAAGAACGGTCTCGTTAGATTATAAAGGTGGATCCAACATCTGATTTTTAGAGGTCGAATGCCTTTTTTGTTTTCCTTCAGGGCGTGATAGACGGCAGCGGGCTTGAAGGGTACTTCGTTTGCACACTGGATATTCTACGTAGCAGTGGAAGGGGGAGGCTTACCTGTAAAGCGACGCCGTTGCCTTGAGATGGAAGGAGACCCCTCCGCTCCTCTTGCAGTGTGTAAATAAATGGAGGATATTGGAGGTGTGGGAAACACAGTTCGGAAGGCGTGTCAAAGCTATGCACCGGGACACGGGAGATAGTTGATCTCGTCTGTTTGTATGAACCCCCATCCTGCCCGACTGTTGTCGGGGAAACAGCGAGGGACCCCCCCCCCTTCCAAATCTTTTTTAAAAAGTTCTGTATTGATTCAAAAACAGTACTAAATTTGTATCGCTCTGACTATTAAAGGGATGCATAGAGAATTGGATAGCTTTGGTTGGCCTGGGGTTCCGCCCACAGCGATTTAATTTTTTTTTTTAGACCTCAGTAACTTGTAACAGAACTTCCGTCATGCGGTTAAACTGGAGGGAGTGATAGCAGGTTGTCTGCATGGGAATTTGCATTTTTGGTTGCACGGGGGATTGGGGACGTATAGACCCTTAAGGGACACAGCGGAATGTTCACTTTGTTTGGAAATCACCTCTCCATCCACTAACCCGTTTTATTCCTTAGAGCTCCTCCCAACCCAGGTAGGATCTAGAGTTAGAAAACCAGTTTTAGACATACGATTAAGACTTTTCTGATCACTCTTTTCAGACTCAGCTACGTGAACCTTTTGCATGTGTTGAGGCGAGGGAAATTTTTGGGGGGCTTGTTTACATATCTGAGCCAAGGGAGGACTTATAGTAGCAAACCATTCTGCAGGTAGTTCCTCCTAAGCCCGGATCCCGTTCTAGCGCGCAACTGGAAACATGGGGTTGCTACAGGAGCCGGGCCTCTCCTGTGACTGGTTCACGGCCAGGTGGACAATAATCAGAGGATGGCCGTACTGGGTGAGCTCCTTGTGCGAATTCACACCGGGTTGACTACTAGCCAGGTGTCTCCCAGTGAAACGCTGGGGATGTTTGAAGAAGGGATGCTGCATATCGGACAAACTGGAGACAAATGGCCAGTTTCCGTATTGCAAAGTCTTTGCATCCCCACACGTCTGCTGTGGGTGCACAGGAAATAGGCCAGTTTCCGTATTGCAAAGTCTTTGCAACATCTGCTGTGGGTGCACAGGAAATGTGTGTGGGGGTGTTAGGCCTTCCCCTTGCAGCCAACGTGAAATGACCCCGAGGAGCTGCTGTTTTACCCTGTTGGGAACCCGTGCATGTGAAGCTTGCTGTCTCTATGCACCAGTGATCCCGATACAAATCAGGCCACCCCAAGCCTGGGGATTCACTCTGGACACATGTGAGACGGGAGGACTCTGTACCATGAATTGGCCCCAACTCCTTGAGATTTTACCAGTTTTCGTTGATAGGCAAGTAGCCCGAAGTGGTAATCGGCCTGGATATCGGAGGCCATGCAGCCAACACAAGACACACCTGGACTGTTCCTCTTGTGTTTTGTGTGGCGTGTGTTGCTTTGGAGTCCAGCTTGGCATCTTTCTTCCGAGCTGCTGCAAGAGAGGTTTGTGTGCTGTAGACAAGACTAAAACAGGCATATTTTCCCTGCAACACTCCTTGTTTGTTGTACCATCTGGGAGGGAGTGGAAGGTTGCAAGAATTCGCGGGATAGTTTTTTTCTTCTCCCCCTCCGGGCATGCGGGTGTTCCCTTGAGGTTGCTTCCATACCTTAAAAACAATGGCAGAGAATTCCAGGGTTGCTCGGCAGTAGCCGCGGCTTTTCCTTCCCAAATGCTTCTCATTCGTTGGGTTTTTTGGGGAGCCGCCACTGATTTTCAAATCTGACACTTTTGCAGAAGGCCCGAACGTTAATCCCAGAAGAAAACCTGATGTACTCTGGGAATCTGCTGAATATTTAGCATCGGCTCTCTTGGAAAGCCAGTTTTCGAACCCCCTAATAAGTAGGTTTTTTTTGGGGGGGGGGTTGGCTTGGGTGTCATTTCCACGGGCATTATATGCCTTCCTTCCAATACCTGCTGAAGCCATCTCAAGCTGTTCTGCATCTCTTCCTTTCGCTTACAGAGCCGTACCACCAAACAAGGGACGTGTCCCGAACAAAGGAAGCCCCTCTCGGTCCCATTAGCAGAGGATTTTTCAACGGGGCTTTCCGCAGATTAAAACCTCTCTCCCGTTTTTCTCTTTCGTAACTTTCTTGCTCCAGGGAAAGGTCGGTAGCTTACGGCTTTTCACAGGCAGAGCAAACTTGCACGGGGGAAGGCTGAACAGTAGTGCCTTGCGCATTAGGGCTGTGTCATAGTTAAGTGCTTTTTTTTAATGGTTTTCTATTATGGCTGTGCCAAAGTGGGAACCGCACTTGGGCCATGTCTGACTGCTGAAGATTTCTACTGGGGTGGGGTGGGGGCTCACCACACCAGGTGGTTTCTATGTGTATATTAGTGTACAGCTACAAGGACACTTCCTTAGTTGATTTTTATGGTGTTTTTCCGGGAGCGAGTGCCGTGCATGCGTAGAGTTACACACACACACACACACACACCCATCAGCTGCTTAAATGCAGACTGCAGGTTTTTTCCCTTTCTTTTATCTCATGCACAAGTGTGTCTTTTCCTTCCCCTCGCCTGCCCCAGCTACATAAACCAGTTGCTTACACAAACTGCACATTAGCCGGCCGCAATAAGCTGTTTTACCCAAACTCTCTCTTCCACTCGATTGGGGGGAAAAGATGAAAAGTTACTGACTCACACTCAGAGAGGAGTATCCTGGAAGAAACCGGATTATTTTTGCTCCTGGCAATCTGAAGGAAGGAAGGGGGTGTGCGCGGAGTGGGACGGTGGGGCGTTGATTTTGCTGTTTCGCTGAACATAGCAAGGAGTGCTAGGTGGGTGGGGAAAGGCGATGGAGAACCACACCAATGATTTTCTTCTTTGATTGTTGGGGGGGTGTCTTTTTTCCCTTTGATACTTGAATTTATATTTTTATCACATTTTTTGATAGCAGAGTGCTATTTATTTATTTAAACCGATGTTGCAGAGCTGAGGGGGCGGGGGGAGGAGAACGGGTTTCCTTTTTGACTTTTTTTTTTGGAGTGTGATGTTAATTCTGTATATTTGAATGGGATTGTTGTGTGTTTGGGGGGGGGGTTGCCTCTGAGATGAAGCTGTGCCAGCTGCAGGTCCGCCTTCTGGACGTTTGTATATTTTGCAGTTGCCGGACCAATAAAATATCTTTTCTTGAAATAGAAAGCCCATGGTCTTGTGTTTTTTGTTTGGAAGAATCTCCCCTCCTGGCGGATGCTGAACTGGATTAATTGCTGTGGTTGTCCTGATGTTTCACAGGCTGTATAGCCCCCATATATCACTAGAGGCCAGAAACCAAACATCTGGCTGGCTATTTCATATCACCAGGGGTCATTTCCTGCCGGAGCTGTGGCAGTAAAGAGCCCAGGAGGCTGGCACATGCAACAAGCCCCTGCTCCCAGCAACCCCAGGCCACAAGGAGCAAGAAGCCTTCCTTCCTTCCTTCCTTCCTTCCTTCCTTCCTTCCTTCCTTCCTTCCTTCCTTCCTTCCTTCCTTCCTTCCTTCCTTC